AAGTTTCAAATATCTTCCCTTCAGTCTGAAGGCATCTGTCAATAAATGTAATAAAACATATAAATGGACTTAAAGACAAAAACCATAATTTTATCTCAATAGATGTAGAAAAGACCTAGAAGCCTTCTAACTGAAGTTTGGCGTATTTGACTTAAAACCCTCTCAATGGGAGGGAACTCATGGGTGGCACTGTAAACTCAGCCAAAAATAGATGGCAGGAGAGGACACAGATCCTAGAGAAAACCTATCTCTTCCATATCTCAAGACAAATGAAACTTCTTACTATAGGCTAAATATTGATCCTTACATTTACAGACAAGCAAAATGTACAGCACTCATCAAAGAAGCTTCTTTTCGAAACAGATGGAGGCTACTGCAGAGTTGCACATCTGGTCAGAGACAAAGAACATATGTTTGAGAGATGCTAAGTACTGGTGACACATCTACAGTTGAACCTCTACAACTAAGGCTCATGGAACATAGCGAAATAAGGGGCAGAGAGAAAACTCATGTATCTGTCAACTCTCACCAGTAAAGCTTCCTTATACAGTAGGGTGGGATGCACACAGAAGGCCACAACTGGCCAAGTTTTAAAGAATAAAAGACTGTAGAATGTAGGATAGGACTCTTATATGGAACCTCATCCACCCACAGATCAGAAACCATGTGGAAGAGGGCATGGAAAGAGTGTAAGAACCAAGGCTGGTTGATGAACACAGGGAAGCAGAAGCTTTCAGGCCACTGGAAGCTTGCACATGTGAACTTGTGGCAATGGTGGCATCAAGCACAGGACCCATGTCAACTCAATTAAACAAGGGCCCAGAGAAATAGGTGGTGGGCCAGCTCTAGGCTGAGAACTATTGGAGACTGATTGCTGCTGGGAAGGAAGAGTATGACTTACATACGATCACTAGATGGGCTGATCAAACACCAGCAGGTGCATTTACACTGAAGGACATTTGGGTACAATTGCCTGAATGAATAGGGCTTAGCCTGTATAATGGAACGCATGAGGTTCAGTGGGGGGATGAGGGAGACACGGATGGGGGAGGGGAGCATCACTTTTCCCTCATTTGTTAAATATTCAGATTTCCTATTTTATGACTTGTTTATTCAAAAACTGTGATCTGTTTGTCCTTTTCTTATTGGTCAAAAAGGCCTTATAGAATTAGAACAAAAGGTCTAAGCAACTGAAGAAGCACAAAAATAAATGTAAAGAAAGCTAGAGGGAATTCTAAATGCTGTTTGCCCTCAATACAAGTTTCAAATATCTTCCCTTCAGTCTGAAGGCATCTGTCAATAAATGTAACAAAACATATAAATGGACTTAAAGACAGAAAACATAAGTTTATCTCAATAGATGCAGAAAAGGCCTGGAAGCCTTCTAACTGAATTTTGGCATATTGGACTTAAAGCTCTCTCAATGGGAGGGAACTCATGGGTGGCACTGTAAACTCAGCCAAAAATAGATGGCAGGAGAGGACGCAGATCCTAGATCTGAACATTAATTCATATGTATACCTAGGAGCTGCTTGGAAGGGAACGCAGTACCAGATGGAAGAGACCATCCTTAGAGCGACAAACATGCCATATAGCACTTATCAAAGAAACTTCTTTTTGCAACAGATGGAGGCTACTGCAGAGTTGCACATCTGGTCAGATACAAAGAACATACGTTTGAGAGATGCTCAGTACTAGGTGACACATATACAGTTGAACCTCTACAACTAAGGCTCATGGAACATAGCGAAATAAGGGGCAGAGAGAAAACTCATGTATCTGTCAACTCTCACCAGTAAAGCTTCCTTATACAATAGGGTGTGATGCACACAGAAGGCCACAACTGGCCAAGTTTTAAAGAATTAAAGACTGTAGAATGTAGGATAGGACTCCTATATGGAACCTCATCCACCCACAGCTCAGGGACCATTGTGGAAGAGGGCATGGAAATAGTGTAAGAACCAAGGCTGGTTGATGAACACAGGGAAGCAGAAGCATCCAGGCCACTGGAAGCTTGCACATGTGAACTTGTGGCAATGGTGGCATCAAGCACAGGACCCATATCAGCTCAATTAAACAAGGGCCCAGAGAAATAGGTGGTGGGCCAGCTCTAGACTGAGAACTATTGGAGACTGATTGCTGCTGGGAAGGAAGAGTATGACTTACATACGATCACTAGATGGGCTGATCAAACACCAGCAGGTGCATTTACACTGAAGGACATTTGGGTACAATTGCCTGAATGAATAGGACTTAGCCTGTATAATGGAACGCACGAGGTTCAGTGGGGGGATGAGGGAGACACGGATGGGGGAGGGGGTCTATATTTGATTAACAACTGTTGCATACAATTACAGAAGCTAAATAAATATATATAAATGTAAAAATAACATACCATGAACTTTCAAGGTACAAAAGGAAGTTAACAATATCTGTTTCATATTTATCAAGTAGGAAAAGTTAATAATATACTTGGATAAAAGTAAAAAAAAATGTTAAATTTTTTAAAAAGCAAATTTAATCTCTACCCTCACAAAGCATTGTGGGCAAAGCAAATGGAAGTAAACTTTTATAGCATACTAAATTTGTGGTAATATTCATCCTTTACCCCCATTTTTACTGAGGTACTAAGAAACATTCTTTTTAAAATATTTACTTTGGGTCATTGGATTTCTTTCCTTTTATTTGGCAAGAAGCAGCCAAATGTGCATATTTTGTGCATTCATTAGATTTTGAAGAATACACCTCTGCCAAGTTTAAGAGCCATGTGCAAGATGATGAGCAGCCTAGAGAAGGCACTGTAAAGGTAAAGGAGGAAGTAACAGAATTGGTACTATTAAATGCCAGCATTCCCAGTTATGTAAAGTGTTTCAGGTAAAGGTCTACAAGATGTCTGTGTGCTTCTGTGTGTCATGCCTAGGTAATCTGTGCAGAGCGTGTAACTGAGCATTTCTTAAACACAGAACTGTAAGGCAGAAACACCTTAATTTAGTTCCCAGCACCCACATGAAGGCTAACAACTGTCCGTAATTCCAGTTCCACAAGATCTGTCACCCTGCATGTATTCTGAATTCCATGGCCATTGTGTGACATGGGTACATTTATATACACACAGGGAATATACTCACACATAAAAATAAAAAAAATAAAATATTTTTAGCACAACGAATAAATCTGTGACCTAAAATAGTAAAATTGAGATCACTGTAATGTATCTTAACCACATGCAAACAAAATTACTAATTGTGAAATTAAGGATTATCCTTCCCTCTGTGGATTTTAAGTTATTAACTCCATGAATTTGAGTGAGTTTTTTAAAAAATTGCAACAAATTTTAAGACATACCTTTCCCAGAATTGAGCAAGATCTGAAGTTCAGTCTGTCCATCTGGATTAAGTCTCTCTGCAGTTTTAGTTATAGATGTTTCACTAGAAACTAGAGAATTGCTTGATCCTATAAGAAAAATAGATTTTAAATATCTACATTTTGATGCATAGAAAATTATTCATGGTTGGTAATGGTGTTATTTAGTATTACAAGCACAGAAGACAAACAGCTTACCTTTTCGTATGGAGAAGAGGACACTTGACCCTTCATTGTCTTTTAGATTAGCTGACTGTATTACTATATTAGGTTCCACCACTGCTTCATCATCCAGAGAAACGGAGTAATTCTCCATTTGTTTAATAAGCCTACATAGAATGCAACAAAGCAACTAAATATGTTGTCATCAGAGGTATGTTATTTCCCACATTATGGTAGAAAAGGCAAGAGCACAAAGGTCATGTATCAGAATGACATTAATGATCACCTGAGAAAAATAACTGTTTCTCTTCAACCAGAGTCTCACTTTATTATATCTGTTTTTTAAAAGTTATGACATGAGCTAAAGGGACAGCTCAACTGTTATGAACACTGGATGCCCTTGCAGAGGACCCAAGTTTAGTTCCCAGAACCTACATAGTGCCTAACAGCCACCTCTAACTCCAATTCCAGGGGATCCAAAGCCCTATTCTGGCCTCTGGATGCTTCTGTGGTCATTTCATGCATGGGTGCACTTACATACATGCAGGCAGAACACTCATACACATAAACTAAAGTTAAATAAAAATTTTAAAAGTTATAACATTCCACTAATTGAACTTTGGACATAATTCGAGAAAATGTGAACTCAAGAATTATTCTTAAGATTTGCTGATAGAAATAATCTGTCATTATGAGGCCCTCCACGTAGAAAGGTGGTGCTACCACCCAGCATTGGATGGATGTGCTCTTCTAGTTCTTTGTGTGGTAGTAAAATTGAGCTCCATTCATTCAGTTCTCCTCTCACTCACTGAAGTGACTGTTCAGATGCATCCACAGAAGAATGGAGCTCTGAATTCACTGCCTTGACTGTGACGTAAACACTGCAAGTTCTCACAATGTTCTTTTCTACTTTGGCTAAGCGCAGAGAAAGAGACAGAATGGGGCTGGTGGAAGCTGACAATTTGGTGTTCTCAACAAAACAAAACAAAACAAAATTCCCAAGCTCCTTTTCTTGTTTCCTGTAGAAATCTTCTTACAATTTATTAATTTGCCTAAACAAAACCTCTGTGTATAAGATTATCAGTCTAGCTTTCTCAGAAATAAGATGATTTAATCAAAATCAATTGTTCCATATTGTCTTTATTTCTATCAAAATATATTTTTGCTCATCCACGATTTTTAAAAAAATATTTTATTTATTATTTTATTTTATGTGTACAAGTGTATTGCCTGCATGTATGTGAGTGCACCCGTGTTGTGCAATGCTGCGGAGGTCTGAAGAGGGCTTTGGATTCCTTTGGAACTGGAGTTAAGGACGGTTCGTAGCTGCCATGTGGGTGCTGGGAATTGAACCCAGGTCCTCTGCAAGAGCAGTCAGTGCTCTTAACCTGCTGAGCCATCTCTCCAGCCCCTCATCCATGATTTTTTAAGAAATTTAAATTTAGAGATTGTTTATTAAGAGAAGGAAATCATCGATCGCTATGGAAACATCCCTCAGCTTCTCTATTTCAGATTGAAATGGCAAAACCAACTCCATTTTGCTCTAGCTGACTTTTGTTTTACTTTATTTTTGCCCAGCCAACCCCACTGCAGCCAGTCAGGTAGGACGTCTCATGCAGGCAGTTTCAGGAGTATGTTGTTTCCACAATACTGGGAAACTCACAAGTAACCAGGTAGCACATCCAGGTTAGCACGTCCTCCCACCCAGCCTAACCAAAACTTGTTAACTGAAAACCTCTTTGTTAACTGACCTGTCCCTGGTCTGGTGTAACTATAGTGATCTGATGTAGCTATGGTTATTGATTTTGTGGTTTTAAGCTTTATAAACCCTGCCTTGCTTCTGCTTGGGGTCAAGAAGCCTTTTGGGTGTTAGCACGCCCCCCACCAACTATTAATGAAGGACTCCTAATTCGACCATTCCTAAGATGCATTCCTCTGCATGTCTCACTCAGTATTACACAATGTTTTTTTCCCTTTTTTACATGATTCATGAGTTTTCAGCAATTTGTACTATGTACTTGCCACTTAGGGGATAAGATTAATTCCCCAGAACTGCTTTCATCAGGAGGCATATCTAACAAAATCACCAGATAGATCATTATTCAACTTAACAACATCTGATTATTTCCTACTAAGAAGCATTTAGACACTGGGGTGCATGAGGAGTACCCCCAGGCATTCAAACATGGGAGAAAAAATGTGCCACATATGGCGATGTTAACCACATTCACAAATACCTTTAAAGTGTTCCACTTATAGCTACTTCTAAGGGCATTCATCCCACACAGTCGGTTTTTCTCTCCTGTATGATTAGGCTAATATATATGGACCTTAGAATAGTCTGTCTGATTCTACAGGCAACCATCAATCAGGTATGCATGACTAAAATAAACCAATTATTTCATTTGTGAATTTTGTAGTTAGTTTGTCTGAAACTCATAATTTAGGGGTTAAAAATATGAGGTCATTCTATCATTGAAAGGCCAAATGAAAATGAAAAAGAGGCAAATAATTCCTGCTGAGAATAAGGAAGGCCCCACAAACATTTCTACTGAAAACTGCAAAGCTGCCTTGGCATCACTGCTATCTCCCTCCTCCAAGGAAGGCCTGATACCACACAATTGGCTCTGTTATGATCCTGTGCTTGGGTTCACAGGAGACCTAGTATATCTCTTTGCAGTATATCTCAATTTGGTCAGGATAACTCAAGTGGGTAATTAAAGAAGGCCAGTTGGAGCAGAAAAGTGAAATGTGTGTACATAAAGTGGATAGTGTTAAGAGAGTCTTATATCTCCCAACCCAGTGACTAAACACAATTTTTACCTTTGATATAAAAATAGAAACAGGGTTATAGATCAGCCTTTGTAACCAGTATGTAAATGAAGAAGGGAAACCCTGAAGTCCTCTATTTTATCATATCACCCCACCATCAGAAACCCTGTTCATAGCTTTAGAGTACTGTCTACCTGGGCATTCCGCCTTCTTCAAATTTAGAAAAGGAAAATGAGCACTAGAGAACCTTAGCATGACAACTTGACATGGTTGAAGCTGCGTGGAGTCTTTCCTCCCCATCATTCTCCTACCTTTTACTCTTATCTTTCTTATTTTTCACTTTCCCCCATAAATAAATGGACTAGAAGGGAATTCAGTAGCTGAGGGACATAAAGGAGAAACTATGAGTGAAAGAAGAAAGAAGCCAAGATGCAGTGGGTGGCTGGAGCCCTGTGCCTCTGAGAGGCCCCTCACACCTGGGCCTAGCTCGGGCTGGAGCTGGAGAACCAGGGCTGCTGTCAGCAAAGTTTACTTCCTTCCCTTGGAAAGAGAGTCAACAGTGATCTTTGCTGGCATCTCATCAAGTGTACAGTCGCCCCTCAGTTTTCACAAGGGATTGGTTCTGGCCTCTCTGTCCCCATGGATATTGAAATTTGCCAATGCTCAAACATTTATATGAAATGATGTAGTATTTGTCTATATTGATGCATTTATTTCTGTATACTTAAATGATATTAGGTCACTTATGAAGCCTAACAATGTTAATTCTGTGTAAATCCCTACTATATTGTACTACTCAGAAAATGATGAGAAAAGTGTATACATGGTCAGCTCAATTTTGTGAATGTTTTCAACCCATAGTTGGTTGAATCATCCACACAGAAGCCATCCATACAGAGGACTTAACTGTATTCTTCTGAGTACTGTAGGGTTGGTGGCAGAAGTGAAAATTTTAGCTAAGTTGATGACAGAAGCATCAGAGTCCAGGAGAACTTCTGTGAATACCACGTGATACAGGTTAAACTGAAGACAATAAACAGAAAATAACTGACTGGAAACAGAGTGAGAAAAAAGAGCTCTGAGAAGCAAAAGATAAGAAAATTGGTTGGGTAGTTTTATACTTCAGTATAATGGTCTTATTTCTCCTCTAAGCACCTTTTTGTAAAGCTATTAGAATATTATTCAGAAGCCATACAATTATCTTTCTCCCCATATCATAAGCCAGTATAATTCATAAGTGTTCATCGTTAGAAAGGTATTGGCATTTGTGTCATGACCTGTGTGACATTCTCAGATGAATCTTACATTTTTTTCCCTCAGTTTTCCTGCCAAACACATCTAGTATCGGGGGGTCTCTGGTTCTCATTTGCATTTTCACTGAACATAGACTCTGGACCTTATGGCCACATCCTTTCCCTGCTTTAGGGGAAAAACAAGAGGTATCTGGATTCCAACTGAGAAGGGTCCAAATTCCTCTTAAAATCTGGTCACAAAATATACCGATAAAACTGTACAACCTCTGCCAATGTCTCTCAAGAGTTGCAGTTTTTTGATTGCTTTGTTTCACATGCACGGGTCCTCTTTCTACTTTGATGGCTTAACCCTAATTGATGCTGGGTATATGCATTAGAAAACTGAGAATTATGTGAAGGAATTTCTCTTAAGGAAAGAAGAGGTCATGCAAGTCATGATTATGTATGAGATGTTGATTCTTCATGATATTCAAAGACAATATAATCTAAAAGCTCACCAACAGTCTTGATTAGGTAAAAGCTCACTCACTGTGATAGTTAATTTTTTCATTTATTTA